GAAATGAAAAAAGGTATAAATATAACCTTTATATGGTTCAAATCAAATATTACACATATTATTGATAGATTAATTTGATGCTTCATCATATGTTACCAATAATAGATATTCATTAAAATAAAAAGAAAATAAAGAGAGATAAAACCAAAAGAGAATGAGATATTTATCATTATAGGGAATCATCTTAAAGTGAAAGCGATATTAGTTTGTATTTATCGCTTATATCTAAAGATGATTCAATTTGATAAATCTTGAGAATCCATGTTATGTTCTTATAATTCTGAAAATTTGAGTTCTTTACCTTAGAATTATTATAATATTATTTTTCTTTTGGTGGTTGTAAATTTACTATGATTCAATAAAATTAACCTTTGAATTCTGTATAAGACTCATAATATTTTGAGTATTACTCAAAGAGTAGATAACACTAAAATAAGGATGAAGCGTAAGTCTACCTGAGTTTATAATTACTATATAAACTCATAAAAAAATATCTTCACAATAAAGTATTTCGTTTGTAGCAAATAAAGTTATGTGAAAAAGAAATATACTATAAGATTTGATTTGAAATGAAAAATGTATAAATATAACCTTTATATGGTTCAAATCAAATATTATAGATATTATTGATATATTAATTTGATGCTTCATCATATGTTACCAATAATAGATATTCATTAAAATAAAAAGAAAATGAAGAGGGATAAAACCAAAAGAGAATGAGATATTTATCATCATAGAGAATCGTCTTAAAGTGAAAGCGATATTTGTTTGTATTTATCGCTTATATCTAAAGATGATTCAATTTGATAAATCTTGAGAATCCATGTTGTGTTCTTATAATTCTGGGAATTCGAGTTCTTTACCTAGAATTATTATAATATTATTTTTTTTTTAGTGGTTGTAAAGATTTAATAAAATTAACCTTTGAATTCTGTATAATAGTCTATACAGAATTAATATGAATCATAAGTTTACAATAATCCTATAATTAAATATTGAAGTGAAATGTAGTTTTATAAACTACTTGAGGTTATGTCTATCACTCTATACTTTAGTCTCATTAAAGATAGATATTTTATCACCATATAAATAATATGTTAAGATATAATTAAATATATATAATTCATGTAAAGTCTATTACCATTTACACTCTTGAAGTGTATATAAATGAAGTTGATAGACAATTAGATAGAAAAGTCAAGATCATCATCTCTAACAAGAGTGATAAATTTTATGGTATTTATTAAGAACCCAATTATAATTCTTTTGCTAGATTCTTAAAAAAATAAGGTATATGATTTACTAGATGTGTTACAGCAGAATATGATTGCTGAAAGATATCATCGTACCTTATAGATATGGTTAAGACCAATGATAAGTTATTCTTTTATACCCAATTCAATATGAGAAGAAGCTCCAAGGACACCTATGTATATCTTGAATGGTGTTCCTAGTAAGTAAATTTCATGACTTTTTTTTTAATTTATGAAATGATAGGAAATCTGACTTAAGATATTTACATATTTGAGATTGTCCTGTGGAGATAAGTATCTTCAACTCACATAAAAGAAAATTAGATTTAATAATTATTTCTGAATATTTTATTATCTATTTAGAAAAATTTTAAGGGGTACATATCTTATTGCTCTAATCATAGTATGAGGACAATTAAATCCGGTAATGTAAGAGTCCTATAAAATAGCAAATCAGTGGGAGTGAAAATCTCGAAATTTAATTTTGATATAGAGGAGATACAAGTTAATACTCCTTTATTATTCGAGAGATTGTTGTTACTCAAATCATTAAATGATTTAATAAAAGTGAACAACAAAATAATATTACTAAACTCCCACTTTATATTGATATCATTATTAATGGTTTTGTAGAACAACCATAATTGATAACTTTGAGAATATCTCAAAGGGGAAGGAATCATGTCATTTATGGTTATTATGTTATATATCTACAAGAATTATATTATGATATAGGAATTAGAATGGATCTTTTATTGTTGTCACGTGTCATGAAAAGTATTGATTCTGAAAAGTAATACGATGCAATAAAAGAAGAGTTAAAATCAATAACCAGAATGGTGTCTGATAAATTTATCGAATTGTCCAATAATAGTAAAAGAGTCTATTATATAAATGTGACTCAAAAGACAATGTCGAACAATATAATGGTTAGACTTGTGGTTAAAAGTTTTACTTATAAAGAATGTATCGATCATAACGAGATTTTTCATGAACTCGTTAAGAATCATCATGACATTAGTGATTCATTATGATTTTAAGTTATATCATAATGATATGAATTTTTTTTTTTTTTTAAGATCTAGCTTTATATAGGTTACTCTAAATGATTTATAAAGAAAAATGAAAGAAATATAAAGTTTGGTATGTAAGAATCCATTTATGACCTTAAACAAGCTTCAAGACAATGATATATAAAGGTTATTGATATCATTATTTCATATTTAAGGTAAATACTATTAATCAGTATTTATATCAGTGGGAGCAAGTTTATTATATTAGTGGATAATATTTTGCCTTACCAATAGTGATCTTGATTTATTATACTAATTCAAGAATTTGTCACTAAGAGTTTTAAGATGGTTGATATAAATAAGACATCTTATATTATTAACATTGAGTAATTTAAGGATATACCTGAATGATTATGAAGATTGTCTTAGAAAGGATATATCAATCGAGTTTTGAAAAGATTTTAATATATTCAGTCAATCATAAAAGCAAAATTTTAGTCAATAGTAAATTCTTGAAAATGACTTGAAAAGAATCAGATAAAGAAGATATTATTTGTATATGTGCAGTTGGAAGTCTATGCTCAAGCCTCTATTAGAAAATATATCAGTTTTCATAATTAAAATGTTGGATATATATTGGAGTTACCCAGAAATAAAAATAATAAAGGACTACAGAGAAAGTAATAAGATATCCGAAATGGACAAAGGATTATATGCTCACATGTATGAAATTATATTAGCTTGAAATAATGATATTTTTCATATGTTGATTATATAAATTACCTTGATAATAGGAAGTCCACCTTACGGTTAATATCTATATCAATTAGAGGGGCAATTTATTATTATTATTAATAGAAGTTGATTTTGTGGCATGCTTTGAGGCTACTAATCAAATTTTTTACTGTAAAATTTTTATCTCAGGACTTAGGTGTAGTCAGATTCAATTACCAAGTTGTTGAAGATATTTTATGACATTGCAGTAGTTTTCTTCTTTAAGAATGATAAGTACTATTGCATCTATATGCATTATGGTATAAAATACTTGATGGTTAAAGAAGATGAGTCCAGAAACATCCAATGTCAATTAATTACTTGAGTTCCACTGTATTGATTGTTGTTCCATTCACTTAGGACTTACAATCTAAAGTATTTTGAAAGAACATGTTCTTATGATTGAGTTTGTGAGCAACCTATAAAGGATATGATGATGCATGTTTGAGTGGATACTATAATTGACATTTTTACTTACATACTTAAAGTTATTTGTTTATGCTATCCTGTTCACAATTATGTATGTACATATTATGGTTGAATGTGATGACAAAATTGTCTTGACAAGACAAATTATATAGGTCATTTTGGACTGCATTAGGAAAGGCTAATAGTATTGTGGTACATAGAAGGAAGTGTGACACTAATGGCATACAACCGCTATGACTCATATTGTTAGTCAGACTTAATATAGTATTATTATTATTATTGGACTTATTAGCCTATTTTCTAAAATTCACACGCGTGTATATAGTTTTTCTAAAATTTCAGAATCCAATTGAGTCAAATTATTTTTAAATAAATTTTATTTATTTAATTTTGATTTTAAATATTTTTTATCTTACTAATTATTGGGCTAAGTGAGAGAATGTTTGATTATGTGGCCCTATTTAATTAGGTAAGATATATTATAGATATGATTGGATTCTGATTATGATTATTGGCCAATAGAAAAGAAGTTCATATTAAAGTAGGATTTTTTAGGAGATAACCTTGATGGGAGGAACTCTCTTAATAACTTTTCCTAGACCCTCTGCTCTCGTCTATAAATAGATAGGACTTCGAGAGACTAAGTACATCATCTGAGTGCATCTGAGTAGCATTTCAGCAATTAAGAGGTTAAAGTTTTTCTCTTAATCTCCCTCTCCTCTGATCCTCTAATTCATCAATCTAGGTGTTCCTGTAAAAAGATAAGAGAGGAGAAGGATCTAGTTAGTTTTCCTTGCAGATCTTTGCAGATTGATATTTCAGATCAAAAGAAGAAACGCTTGTAGATCAGATAAGTTTATTCTTCTGAACAATAAGAAAGGTACATCGTAATATTGTTAGATCCAATTTATTTGATTTCAATCTTAGTATAAAATTTTTTTCGTATTATAAATAGCATGATTATAGATTTTATGCTAATATTTTGTTTTTGAGATCACCGGTAGAAAGACATATCTGTATGCTGCTCGCTGCATGGTATCAGAGCATCAAGCTACATATAACAAACTACAATTCGTACGGAGAGCAGCATTATTAGTTGGTGGCGTGTCATTGTCTTCGGATATTCTCATAGATTCACCACGGGAGCTGAAAGGGATGCGACCTCCAACTTATATAATTGGCACACACCACATTTGATCGTCTTGTGTAACCTTTTAGTTCTTTCTTCGATGATTCCTTTGTCGGGAAGAAGTGGATACATATGTTTTGCCAAGTTGTAGTTGGTGCCATACTCTGCTGTATTACTTTTATAAGTATAAAATTATAATTATATTATTATCATGTAATTTTATGTCAGAATTATATATATATATATATATATATATACGTCCAATCAACGTATTTTTCGTGAGGAAAATTGATGTTCTTCAATCGAGACGAGAAGGCTGCAGAGAAGAGCACTTGCAGTCCGGTCGATCACCATATCCCGATCGAAGAGCAAGCTCAAAACTGAGGGACGAACGGAACACTACTGCTGTTGCCAACGGAGATCATCGGACCTTACGAACGTGCCGTGGAATCCATACGGTACCCTCGACGGTAACCTCACCGTCGCCTCCAAGTCCATGCTCCGCCCGTTCACGATCAGAAGCTGCGACATGCCTCGACTCTCATCGTGCACGAATTTCACCACGAACCCCTCGTCTTCCTCCCCGCTTCCGTCGGCGCGGAGGGGAACAAACATCGGCTCGCCACCGAACCGGTCATCCCCGTAGTCAAACCGCCTGACCTCCCCGGTTTCCAGGTCCACCTTCGCCACCCCGCCGCACCTGGGCCACGGCTCCGCGATCGCCAGATACGCAAACCGAGTCTTCCTGCCGAGACGAGCCCGGTTAATCTGACCTGCCTCCAGGTTCAGCCCGGGTGCAATCTCCCTCCGGCTCGATTCCTCCGTCTCCAAGTCGAGCCGGATCTCCGAAAGCACCGTCCGGATGGGCCCCGCCGCGTCCTCCACATCGGAGAATATGGCATCGGGCGGTGACATGCACGACCCGATGATCACCACCGTCCGCCCCTTCCCTTCGCGGCACGTCTCCTCCCACGCGTTCCACAGGTGGAAGCAGAAGCAGCCGGGCACGTCGATCCATCGGATCCTGGATTCGTCGGAGTCGTACCTAGGCAGCACCCCGAACCGGGGGGTCTTGCTGCGGTCGCACCGCACGGGCGAGCCGCCATGCAACATCCTTGAGAGCTCGAAGACCACTTGTTGGTCGGGGATGATGGCGTAGTTCTCGGTGATGGCAAAGTCGTGGATCATGGTGGGCTGGCGGAGGGTGATGGCGACGTCGGCTGACTTCTTCCCTGTCATCGGGTGCACGTAAAAATACTTCAAGTAGGGCTTGCAGATCACGTCATAGCTCAGCGCGAACAGCTCGCCGCTCACCGGATCGATCTTCGGATGCGCTATCATCGAAGTAACCTGCTGCCCAGCGAAGCTATGCCGTCCCACCGTCTCGAGATCTCCGTCGGCGGTGACGCGCACGTGGTACGGGAGGTCATCTTCTGACATGGCCAAAAGACGGCCGCCGAAGTACACAAGTCCGGCATTCGCCACGCCCGTGCCATTCGCGGGATTTACGATCCCGGCCGCGGTTCGAAGGTAGAATAAAGCAAGTCGAGCGATTCCCGAGTGACCGTGAAGCTCGCCGATAGCCTTGGGGAACAGGGTCCGGCCGAGAGCTGCCTCCTGCAAGAGGCGGCTCGTGCGGGTGTACCGGCAAGAATAGGAAGCATCTGCAGGGCCAGAGAGCGAGACGGCATGGATCATGCCGTCGCCGTCAAAGAGGTGGTGCCCGCCAGCTGGTGGAAACATCGGGTTGGCACCATTGCGCACGTAAACGCCGAACAGCGCTGGCGGAATGCGACCGGTGACTTCCAGCCCGTGGACCGGCGGCGACTCAGGAACGGGCGTGAAGTTGCCAGAGATCTGCACAGCTGGGTCGACAGAGCGAGGGAGAGGACGTTTACCCTCCAACCCTGCAACGATACCGCTCTCCACGGCGTCGAGAATGGAAGCTAGCACTTTCTGTACAGGGTTCAGTGGAGGGGCACTGCTAACTAGTGGCTGAGATAGCGGTGTGCGGAAACGAGGGATGAGGAGGTCCCTCCTAGAGGGAGAAACGAGGGGTTTCTGAGGAGGAGCACTCTCGGTGTGCGGAAAGTGGAGCGAGGGACTGACGCGAAGGGAGGCCTGAGCCATAGCTATTGCTTCTGTGCGGATGAGCCCTAGCGGTTAGGGCTTTAAAACCTCTCCAGGTTTATGGTTCTTGCGATGACGACATAGCAGATGGGGTGGATACTATGAGATGCCGAACATAAAAATGGCCAACGAAAATCGAGGATGTGGTGGGGTCAAGAGCCGGGTGACTCACACAACTGCCTCCGTTTGGGGGGTTTCGGTGTATTGCATTTTTCCGAACGTAGCAACACAGTTCGCCTTTCGAGCATGCATAAATGGACGTCCGACTTGCATGATATACATAGACGAACACGTGGAACGACCACGATCGGTTACAGTTGGTGCGAAGGAAAGGCTGCCATGAGACGGGGCTACCACCTGCAGGTTGAGCCAGGCGGGACGAACTGCTCGGGCTATCGAAGTACACGTGCCATCCGAGTGGGTACTACGGTTTAAAAGGAGGAAGCGCGGATCAGCTGCATCCCCGAAGTAGCGTACTCGACCTTTTTCCTCGCAGCCCCTCTCCTCGGAGTCCAAGATCGACTGTGCACATGCCACGTGGATTTCTTAGTTCGCACACCGTTGGACGAGAGGAGCATCTAACCCGCGCTCGTACACAGGTTTCACGTCGGAAGCGGCGGTGGGGAGTGGGTCCCGTCAGCGCATCCAGCCAGCGGAGTCTTTGGCCGCCTTTCGACAATAAAGGCCCGGCAGTACTCTCGACACCCGTCGGTGTTTGACCGCCCTGACGTAGGCGCACGTCGATTGGCCTCTATTCGGGACCCACACCACTCTAGTCGACGTGGCCGTATAAAAGACAAAGATGCACCAAAGCGGTAGAACAGTGAAAAGTTGTTAGTAAGATTCTTTTGTGACTGGTGACGGAGACTGCATCCACTCATACGGTCAATACTGCCCATTCTTCGCGCTCGTTCGTTGCATCCACCTCACATGTACTACTGTCTTCCTCCCCCCAGTCTAATCTTGTCGTCGACTGCAAATTTCCAGGGCGATTCGGCAAGATGACAATTCTAATGGTACACGTCCGGAGGAAACACGGTAAGCTTGTGGATAAGAACTAATCCTTTTTGACAGGAACCTAATCGACAGAAGGGGTGGATAGATCGAAGTTGTTCATTAAACGGATAGATCATAACTGAAGCCAAATCGGGTTCGTCGCATTCCATTGTTCCGAAACAAAAACCAGCAGTATGTGAGGAATGCTTCAAGAACAGCAGCACACCAGTAAGCCCGAAGCGTCCAAGTAATCCATTGTAAATGAGGTCACTCGCAGTAGCAGTGAGATTGACAGTAAGGAATGCTTTGAAAACAGCACAACGAGTGCAAGCAATCCAGAGCAAGCGATGACACTCATAGTAGCAGTGAGATAAGTATGGGCTTTCGTCCTCCTTGCGTCCGCTTGGTGGTGCAGCGTTCTCGAAACGGCACACGACAGTTCACCTTCCACCATCGGATGTGGTATCGGCTAACTGCCCAAGTTGATGATCGAGTATTTGACCAAATGTTTTAGGGGATAAGCATTCGGATCTACAGATTTGAAACCATTTTAAGCTCCTTTTAAAAGCGCCGACGCGGTGGAACAGCAAGCTACATGCAAAGCCCGCTGAAATCCATCGATCACCGATGGTTTCGCGCGGTGGTCCCACGAAATCTGGACTTCCCATTGGTCCGCTAAGTGCGCTGAACGCCGGACAAAGTTTGCATGCAATTTGCGTCGAACACGTTGCAACCACAAGCGTCGATCACGGTGTTGGCCGAGGCAAGTGGGTCACTCGCTACGAAGCTACGTGGGTAGATCGGAGATGGGCGGGACCCGTCGAGTACGCCGCGACGCGGAGTCCACGTGGGGTGGAGGGAGTATGGCCCGCGGAGACGGGCTCTGCTGCACCCCTCTCCACGCGACGCATCCAACTGCTGGAGCCAAACACCTCTGTCCTCATCGGGACCCATCTTATTCCACTAATAGTCGACGCAAAAAGTCGATTTTTCTGAACGACGCCAAACAGCGGATCAGGGATGGCGAGTGAGTCCACGTGACGCGGGGCCGAGAGCGCGTGCCTGCGTTGGACCACAGCGTGGTTTCTGAGTTGGATTATCCCACCACGAGTACGGCATCGACTCTAGAAACGATCCAAACGACATAAATATAATTTGGTAAGATTTAATATCTTATTTTTTATATAAAGAATTAATTTAATGAAGATATTTTAGGAATAATGCAACTTAAAGTTTTTCTTTATTGTAAAGAAAAAAGAAAGACTGTATAATCATGCAAAGAAAAAGTCATATTTGCTTGGGAATTTCAGGTGTTTATAGGAAAATATAATTTTAATACATAATTTTTTTATAATAATGTTATATATAATATGGTTTATATAAATTTCAAAGATACATTTTAGAAAAATATAAGATTGTTTGGGCCTAAGAAAACGTATGTTACTGAATATATGATCTACCAAAATCGTGACTTAGATCGCCACATTGTACGAAGTGCTAAAACCCTAAAAGGCCCAAAACGAGCATCGTTCTGTGGATGCATAGACTTCATGGTCTTGAGGAATTAATTGGGACTTGATTGGGTTCTTCATTAATTGAATCATGGCGAATGTATTAGAAATTTGATAGAAGGGAAGAGAAAACAAGGGTTAGGGTTATTATATAGTGACAATCTTATAATTTAGAAAATATCATAGGGTACCTTGAAAATAAAAAAAAAATCATTAACATTATGTAAAAACTAAAATACTAATATTATCCTAAGACAATATCAATATTTAAGTATTTATAATGTAGCATCCAAGTCAAATAAATTTATTTTAAATCTTATTAAACATCAATTTATATTTGAAATATGGATCGCGCCTCATAGCACATTTCAGATGTAGCAAAGACTCAATCACCAAATAACATGATTGGGAATCTCAAAGAGATGAGGGGGTATTCTTTGATCATCTAATTAAACGTACCGGAATGAGCAACAATGAAGTCCAAAATAATAGGATCCGTTTGAAAACAAACACTAAACTATTAGCTTAGCACAAACTCAATCACGAAGTATGAGATTTTGATACCACACTACCAGCTTAGCACAAACCTCCAAGCACATTACATTTGGTTTCCTAGGGAATCATGTCACAGGATAGGTGAATCAAATCCTTTTACGTGTCATTCCCCAAATCCATGCAACTATTCCAAGACAGTGCAACGTAGCATCAACACCATGCCCTCGAAGCATGAGGGCACACATAACAATGGAGGACTGCCGCCCTAAACATCTGTCCTCCTCATGCGTGGAGCAAGATGCTCCACGAGAGGAAGAGGAAGCTCTGGTGAAACCCCACGAAGCCTTGTAGAAACCGGTGCAAGCAGCTTTCCAATGTGCTTTACTCTTAAGCGTATCAGTATCATATACTCACTTACCATGTGATGATGCACTTTGGAAACTGGTTTTAGACTAATCGAAAGCACCGCAAGAAAGGGAACTCAGTAGAGCGTAAGCCATGAAGTCATCCTCATTCATATGTCAGTATGTCACTATAATCTTTTATCATCTCGATCTATATATTAAGAAGACGAAGTACGTTAACTTTATCGAGCATGATTAGTGGCCATCTAATTTAACTCGATCATCATTTATATTGGATTATTTATAATCACATGGACCCATCAAACTTCGTGTGTGAGCAACTAATCCATTTAGAATCGATCAGAAAAGGTTCTCGATGAGTTAGCATAACCTAACCTCTCACAGAGATCTTGTGCACGGGTCCTCTCTAATCATCAACGACGATCAAGAACTATATCTCAGCACCATTGTAATCTCCTTTGTTCTACTACTAGGCCTCTTTTGAAGAGGGAGAAACTATTTTTGCTACTACATTGCGATGATCAAAGAAGATGATCGAGAATAGATGCTAAATCTTGTATGCCGTCCTTGCTACAAGCATACATCACATTCCTAGGAAGCCACAAAAATGAGTCGCGTGCTTATGTTTTGCCGGAAAGTTGTGTCATCGAGCTTTGGTGAGCTGATAAACGCTTAAACAAAGACATTAAGATACGTGGCCATGGCGCTCTTCCTCCATTTGTCTAGCGCAGAACTAATGCACATCGACGAACGGTGGTGGTGACCAATATTCCCATGCTCATTTCGAGGGAGATGGAGTGAGAACTTAGTTAAGGGCGGCGAGTTCTTCGTCTCCTCATGACATGCCTGAAAAGAAGAGCTGCTCACGAAACCTCGAGGTTTCGTGCACATGCCTTCACCATTAATGAAAGAATTCCTACTCCATCATTCCCAACCAAAGCTGGCAGGCACTACGCGAGCGATCCAAATTGCTTTGTGAATCGGCCACCGCTTAAATTAACTTTGGAATAGAGAGAGGTTTTCTTTTATTTTCTTCGAAGAAAATTGTGGATAATTGCGCATCCAACCGGAGTTAATATTGTGGGTGGTGAGGAAGCGCCGACTACATCCAGGGCGGATGACCAATGAGGCCTTGTGGGTCCCGTCCGCCGTCAGATTTCCCCAGTGGGATCCACACCGCATCCCCGGATCTAATTGATATGGTTCGGGCGTTGACCGCCCGGGAGAGGAAGCGTAGACTGTAGCAGATCATTGCATCAGAGCCATTCGCGTCGAGATGATGACGACGACGACGACGATGATGAGGGACAAAGCTGTACCATTATCCTCGCTATCGGGCAATAATAATGATCTCGACCACCGCTTGACTAAACGACGCCAAGAAGCAATTTTGGCCAACAAGCAAGGCATGAAAAGTGTATTT